CAGCCTGAACCTCCCCTGGTGCAACTTGAGGCCATTTCCTCTCGTCCTGTCACCTGTGACTTGAGAAAAGAGACCGACCCCCACCTCTCTACACCCTCCTTTCAGGGAGTTGGAGAGAGCAAGAAGGTCTCCCCTCAGCCTCCTCTTCTCCAGGCTGAACACCCCCAGCTCCCTCAGCCTCTCCTCACAAGACTTGTGCTCCAGACCCCTCACTTTCTGTTCATACTCTAGCCCCAGTCCCTCCAGTTTCACCACAGCATCTTCCTAAGGGCTCTCCAGTATCATATCTGAGCCTGTCCCAAACCCCAGCCCACACAGCCAGAGTCCGTAAGGAGAGGCAGCCACTTCCTTCAGCCTCTTTGCTGCCTCCTCCACCCTCTGTTCACACACATCTTTTCCCTGCTACATCCCAAATTCCTCCAGTGTTCAACCCCTACGATTCTCAACCCAACCTCTAAGCTCATGCTAGTGGAGGCAGAAGAAAGGAGTAAGAGGTATCAAAATGCTGGGTGGGGGAGAACATGGAGAGTGTTTTTCTTCTTAAATGTTGTCTTAGGTGTCCTAAAACTAAATGAAGTAACACACCCCTGAATATAAAGGCAACAGGACCATGAATTTGCAATTCTCATTCCAATTGATTTTGGAAGTACCTAACACCATCCTGCTTCTCTCCTGAACAAGCAATAGGAGAAGCTTTTGTGACCATTCCTCTGGACACTACCGCGTTCCTAAGAGACACACAGAACAGCCTGCAGCATCTTAAAGAGCAGAAAGATTCATTTCCTTCAATGGGCTTGAAAAACCAAAATCACAACTTCAAATCAGGTTTGGCATGGGAAGCTTGCCAAATTCCCACAACACAACCAATTGCTCGTCAAAAATGGTCCCAAAGTGAATAAATAAAACCAGTAAAAACAGTCCCTTCTCACCCAACGTGATTCTGAAGGTGATTCAGGATGGGCTGACTTCTAAAATGGCAAGTACATGGCCATGAGGCACCTAAGTAACACCAGCCTTTATGGGCAAATAACAACATCATAAATTCCACCAGAACCTTCCCAAAGCCTTAACGAGGTTGGCTACAACATGCTCAAGCCCTGCCCATGGAATTGTTAGAGTTGGAAAGGACCTTCTAGAGACCATCCAGCCCAACTCCCCGGCCAAAGCAGGGCTGCCCAGAGCACATCACTCAGGAGCATCCAGGCGGGGCTTGAAGATCTCCAGAGATGGGGACTCCACACCCTCCCTGGGCAGCCTCTGCCAGGGCTCTGCCACCCTCACCCCAAACAAGTTCTTCCTCAGATTGGAGTGGAACTTCCCATGGTCCAGCTTGTGCCCGTTGCCCCTCGTCCTGTCACTGGGAACCACTGAGAAGAGTCCGGCTCCATCCTCCTTCAACCCACCCTTTAGATCCTTG